TTTACAGTGTAGTATGTTTAATATTAAAAGTTTAACATATTGAGATGCAATGCAATGAAAATATCTTTTTCTAAATGCCATATAAGACCCGCAAATATAATTTGTTTTTCTTACATGGTTGCTGCTCCCCATTAAGAATGTAATGCTATACTTCTGATAGTTCACACACACACACACACACACGGTAATGTGAGAGCTAATTAGTAAACACGCAGACCCTTATGACCTTCAGAGAACACTGCATTAAGATGAGCTTAAGATAACTGTACTAGCTAGAGTGAAATCACAAGACAGGCTGTTAGGAAGGTGAGCTGAGAACAAAAGGCTCTTTTTGTCCATCTCTTTTGGTTCAGGCTGGTCTACGTGGCATGCGCTAGGAGAACATTTAAGCAAGCATGAGCTGAGATAACAGCGTTAAACAGACAGAGGTCTGCTCTTAACCAGTGCTGGCCCCACACAAAAGAGCCTCTTTTTATCTGGTATTCAGCAAACATCATGCTAACAAGTTCTGCCCACTCAACAAAGCCTGGTCCAAACGCGCCAAGCACAGTCAGACTTTCTACACAAACACGATCAGACCCACATCTGCTTTACAAAAAGGCTTTTCACTAAAACAAGCATTTGAAGTAATTCATTTAAACATCATGTTGTAGCACTTTTAATTTTAGTCTGGATCCAACACAGTTGGACAATGTCAAAAATATTTTTGTATGTAAGAATTAACTAGGGTCAGAACGATATGTCGACGACATTATGATGTTGATTTCCGACGATGCATTGAGTGTTGATGAGACTCAGAAAAATCTCGAACCAAACCATAAAAAGTGTAGAAAATCTTTAATTGGGAGCCTAGGAGCTGTTTTTGCCTCCTTGTATGTCATGTTTCACACAAAAGCCTCCCAAGTGCTGATGATAATGGCTAGCATGGCAATGCCGCTTTCCAGCACACTTGCCAGTTGTAAGCTGTTTATGTAACTTAATGTAGATTTACATTAATGTTATGCTCTAAGTTGGAGTAAGCAACATTTTTAAATAAATAAAGTGTCTTTCCGATTACATTCGGCACCAGGCACTGAAGTAAATCATACTCGGCACAGCATCGAATAGCAGAAAATAGGCTGCATTTACTCAGCATTAGAATACAGATGTAAGTCCCATGTTTTGTGCTTACAGTATCGTGTATACAGCATTTTGTTTTTCACAAGTGTGAAAGCTTCATATAACAACAGATACTTGAAAAATTTTAGGAGTAGTAGAGGTCGTCTCTGTCAAAAAAAAAAAAAAGTCCAAATAGGGCTTAAGAATTTACAGCAGGTACATTTTCTCAGTTCACCCGCCATTGAGATGTAGGCCAAACAGTTCATTCTGGACCCAGCGTACGGCCATTCAAGAAGAGCAGGACATGAACTCAAGAGCTAAGGGACAGGAAGCCAAGAATCCTAGACGACAATTAAGATAAAGCCATCTAGTCGACAGGCAGATTAAGGAATGCTTCATCAAAAGAGCGCAGGGCACCAAGCATGAATGCCTGCTGTTGGCATGTCTGTGTGCACAAGGCGGGACTCCCTCCCTCCAGCTTGACTCACATCTCACCCACTGTCTCTTCCAAAACAAAACACAGCAGCAGGGAGAGTCCAGACAGGGAGGACGCCAACCATTTGATGTCAGCAGAGGCAAAACTGCCATTAGACTTAACTAAAGTGTCTTGTAATTTATTATCGTCTCTTTGTCCTCGTTTAGCAACTAAAATGCAGACATTCCTTAACAACCCGGCAGTGTAGCAGCTGTCAGACTGAGACTATAAACACCAGCATGGCTTATTACGCCATTTACTGCCAACTCAGCATCCAGAACGCATCAACAGGACACAGGTGTATGTCGAAACATCCTTCAGTGTCTCCGCTTGAATCTTTTGAATGCAAACAGAACAGTTAACTAGTTTTCTGAAATTTAATGTCCAGGTAATATAACAAACACAAATTATAATCTATATGAATATTACATTTCTTAAAAATGAAAAAATATATTTTTTAAATAACTGTAGAAACCCGTCGTCACAGTTTGTGAAAAGGGTCCATTGGCCATATTTAGGTTACACAACTCCCATTAACTGCAGAATATATAAAAATCTATTTTTTTAAAAACTACTGTCCAAAAGATACTTGTGCCTGAATGATATTTGACGCTTTCCAAGACTTTGAGAGCTCTTAAAAAAAGAATACTGTGTGGGGTTGACAATGAAAGCAATGTACTTTATTCATCCACTCCTCAGAAAAATCCTTGATTTGTTCAGTTCATTCCTGGCCAAAGAAAGCATTTGTCACTCAATCTATTTTCTAGCATGAATCAGAGAGAGTGGCTGTCAAGCCAAAGTACAGTACAAAGGTCACGAGGATGTGAGCTGCACGGCAAACACTTCATGTGTTTAATACTAGCTCCTCGGCCTGAAATTCACCCTTTTTGCATCATGGTAAAGGGATAGTTCATCCAAAAATCTAAATTATGTCATCATTTACTCACTCTCACATCATTCCAAACCTCTAAGACTTTCTTTCTTCTGCGAAACACAAAAGAAAATATTTTGAAGAATTTTGGAAACCAACCAACTTTTGATCCCATTGACTTTTCAAATGATTTCTCAAAATATTTTCTTTTATGTTCCACAGAAGAAAGAAACTCATACAGTAAAGACATGATGTTGAATAAATGACAGAATATTCATTTATGGGTGAACCACCCTTTTAAATATGCCATCTTCCCTGAGCTCCAAGTTTATACCTGCACTTTATATAAATCCTTTTATTCTTAGGTCAATAAACTTGTAACCAATGTAAATTGAAACTAAATTCAACACTGAACATGGAAGATAATAAAACATTGTATGTTTGGTTTTGTGATATAGCCTGTCAGAGACAATTGGTAGGTCTTATGCAGAGACAAAAGTGAATGAATATAGATTAATTTTGCAGGCCCACTGCCCAAAGAGTGAACGAAAATGGGGGTGACGATGCTGGTTTAGGGTAGTTTCTTACACAGCGGGCACCGTGCGACAGGGAGGAAACTTCCCTTAGTGTGAGAAGTCAGCTTGAACATGCTCCCACAGATCAGAGCCTAACTCAATAAAAAAGAAAAGGGGTAACTGCGAAGTCTGCCTTTGGGAATTGAAATGTAATGAAATAAAATAAATGAACAACAGACGAGAAAGAAAGCAGGCCCAGGAATAGCTTTTGGAAAGGAAAAAGCCTGGAAATGCACCGGCAACAGGGATCTACATCGCTCATTCGCACACAAATTAATATACAGCTCATTGTGGCAAGCTCCCCCTCCACACACACACACACACACACACACACACACACATATATATGGAGTGAAGGTCAAGTGAAAACAGGTAGAGGGTTTTTCAATCAGCAAGCTGCTAAACACAATTGCAGATGTGAAAAAGATAAATAGAAAAACACACTGGCAGTGATCACGTTGTGCTTACCAAAGTACTCAGCCTTTGGCTGAGCATCCATCTCCTTTTCCAGGCGTTCAGTTAGAGCTTCTAATTTTATTTCAGCCGCAGATGGCCCCTGATCTGTCTGTACATGGAGGGTCTGGCATGGCAGTTTGAGCGCCCGAGAAGAGCTGGAAGACTCATCATGGGGCGACTCAACAGGGGCCGCCGGTGTAGAAGCGGGCACTGATGGGTTACCGGATGCAGTGCTCTTGGGTTGGGGTGGCTCACCTTGCTTCCCTGCATTGGACAATGGAGGTTGGGTCACATGGGTAGGGGAGGGGGTGCCAGTATTATGAGCTCCCCCATTTTGATATGTCGGTCCACTGGCAGACCAAAGGGCAGAGTCTGGTTGGCAGTGCTGCCCAGGGCTAACTTGTTGAGGCTGGTGATGTGCATCCCTGTATGTTCCTGTGGGCGACTGAGAGGGAGACTTCCCCGTTTGAGGGAATCCCTGAGACACTGGGGAATAATTCTGACCAGCTCCAGGTGAGCTAGAAGAGGAGGAACTGTTCGAGAAAGGAGACGATGGCGTCTGAGATGGGTAACCGCTTCTTGATGCCCATGTGCCAGGGGGGCTGGTAGAGGGTGCCGATCGTGCTGGCACTGGTATCGGGTTAACAGCATTCCCAGTCTCCTTAATGTCATAAGCCCTGTTGCTGGATCCATCATGTAAGATGACCGAATGGTGTTTTTGTCCTTCGTAAAATATGTATGGAGTCACACTGGCAGTGCCAACCACTGGCCCAGACATGATGGGTGGTTTGGCTGCTGCTTCACCAACCTGTCTATAACTATTGATGGGTGGTCTGTCTTTGGTGTAAAATGAGTTATCTGATACTTTCGAATGACTTCCATTGATCCTTGCTGCCATACTGTTTCTTGCCATCTTCTCTTGCTGCTTCTGCATGTGTATTTTATTCATTTTTGAGGCAAAAACTTTCCTGGTTTCTTCAAAATCCGGGTTGTTTCCCGCATCTCTCTTCACGCGAAACAAGCCGTCCTTCGATGCTTCATACATGTTCAAGTCCTCGATGAATTTACTCGCCTCAAGTCCCAAATCGTCGTATTTATCCATGTCTGCAGCTGGAAACGCGCACGGAAAGGCTCAGAAAGTACGTTTTTAAACGGGGAACAGCTGCTCAAACTCATTCACCTGTGAAAAGCCACGAATAAGATCACTTAGAACTGCAAAAGCCAAGTGAATATATTAAGTTTCCACACAGAAAACATCACACGATACAGCTTAAATCCACTAAAATAGCCGACCCGCAAAAACAAGTGACCAAGCGTAACTTTCGCAGGCAGCTCTCCGTGTAAATTGAATGAAACTCGACTGAAACTCTACAATGTAACGAACTAAACGAAGTCTACCCCACGGTGGCCGAGAGCGAGTTTAAGCTGCTCGTCGGTGAACTCCTCTCTTCTCCTCACCGAGAGAGACCGAGCGACTCCCGCCTCCGCTCCGTGAATGAAGAAGCGCGAGACTCTGTTTTCTGCAGTTCACGATTCTCACGGATCCCCGTGCTAAATAACCAAGATCTGTCTTTTCGCGGTCGGCGAACGTTTTAAGCGGTTTATTGAGCTTGTACTTGAAAGAGACGTGTAAAGACTCTCTGCTGCCATGTGGTTGTGTTGTAATTTCACATGATTAAAGACTGAAGAGAATTTGCTCACCACGAGACGTATGGAAATAATCCAGCACTTCATTTAATATATTATAGTGAATTTGACATCTAACGTTTAAATTGAGATAGTAACTTTTAAATTGAGAGGAGTCAACTTTTTTTCTGTTGTGCAAAACACAGGGCCAAGCAAAAATTCCAGTGTGAAAGAATGAGCCTGATTTGTTCATTCTCTCATTCATTCAGGCTATGAATGAATGGATAAAGAAAAAACATGAATGATTAAATAAAAGGTTTTCATTGAAATGTACACTTTTCACGTTTAGCCCCAAAAATTCAAGTTTCATCATTTATTGACCCTTCTATCATTCCCAACCTGTAGCTACTTTCTTTCTTCCAAATCATATTTAACGATGAACCTTGCCAAGCTTCAAAAATGACAAAAATGTACCATACATGCTAGCTATTTTCCAATACCTACTTCAAGTCATTCAATAGCTCTGTGTGATGAACAGACCACAAATTACATTAATCACTGACAGTCTGTCCTCTTTAGCTTTCAAACCTTTCAAAGCAATACATAACTCAATTATGCATAATAGGCCTATTAAAATGCCTCATAATGTAAAACTATTATATACAATATAGCCAACCCACGGTGTTGTGAAGAGGAAAGTGAAGTGATGGATAACACAACTCATGTGATCAACTCCACAAGCCAAATATTCCTACTCAGCAACATTATCTGCGGCGTGAAGAGGGACAGAAATGCTTTCCCCTATCGTCCCACAACATTACATGCAGTCGTCCCTTAAAGTATGTTTTTTTGCATTAGCTACAAATAATAAAAGTGTCATCTGCACTAAAATGCTGCATGGCCTTTTTTTTTTTTTTTTACTAACTTTACTTTTTTCCATAATTTTATGACTTTTATTCAACTGATTTTTTTTTTGTCAGTTGCCCTCACGTTTTCAAAGGTGTTCATCACAGTAACTATGAACATGTTCCAATGTTTCACACTTCTCTTCACTTTGAGAATTATGTTTTATCATTTTAAACCCAGCTTTTTTTTTGTGAGAAGTTTTGCTTGCAAAAGTATTTTCTTGCTAGAAATAAAATTCCACTTGGTTAGATATTTTGTATCTGCAGCAACATTCAGACATTCTTTTTAGGGCCACTGTAGAGCTGTTGACAATGGTTATGCATTATTAGACCAGTATTGACATACACTGTAAAACATTATTGTGATTTTAACAGTAAACGACTGTAAAAATGCTACAGTAAAAAACTGTTAATTGGTTATCAGTAAGTCTCCATACTATATACGGTGAATAACTGTAATTACATTGAATGTAATTTTACAGTAAAATACTGTTAAAATTATGGTTTTTGGAAGTGAAAAAGAAACAGTCATTTATAATTTACAGTGAAAACCCATAAATTGACACTCCCAGAATTCCCTGCATGACACTTAATATTTTATGTTTTTTCGTTGAAATAAATGTTTCTTCTTAGTTTTTTCTTATCAGTTGTGTACATTAGGGTTTTATCTTACATCTAATGTTAAATGAATGTTTATTGCTTTATTTCAGCATCATGTGTGTTATCATGATGGTGTTTAGTGTTTGTGTGAATGACACTGTGCACCTTCTATATATATAGCCTATTAGTATTTCCCTTCTCAGCTTGTGGAAGAGCTGTTTGTGATGAGCTTTGGTTCATCATGCGACTTTCTCATCACCACCTGTTTTTGGTGGTTATCAGTATTACAATGGTTCAAAACAGATATTAGGTACTTCAATATGCTGGTTTATTAACATTACATCAGTTAATGAAATACGTTTTTTTTATTGTGAATTTAAGTTAATTCTGTAAAACCTAAAATGTTGCTACCACATTTTTAACGGTGAAGTTCTGGCAACCACAGTTGCCGGTATTTTACCGTAAATGTCACAGATTTTTTTTTACAGTGTACGGTTGTCTCTAACAGTCCGAGAGCTGTTATCAGTAAAAATTTGAGTAAAAAGTTGATTTTAAAAATGCACATGAATTTTAGAATTTCCTGATGATCATGTTCTCAATTGTGCAAAATGCATCTTGTGCTTCAATCAAAGCAAGAAAATCTGACAGTTTGCATGATCAATTACACTACTTACCTATTTAATTAATACACTTAGAAATACTGCAGAATGTTAAATATTTAACATATTTTACATAACATTATATGTTTAAAAGGTGTTATTTATAAGTTTAAGTTAGATTTTGAATCCCAGATTGTCAGTAGTACATGTCTTCTAGGACTCCTCCACTGTAAATCTGGGGGATTTTAGTTTGCCTGTTTTATCGCTTGCCAAGTAATGATCAATAATCTGGTTCTTTAGAAAAATAATAACACAATTATCCCTTTAACAAGTCACATGATTTGTAGAAACTGTACGAAGAGTTGTGCCAAAGATTTAATACTTAGGAATAAAGTTTTGTTCGGATTCTTGGTAACCAAACGTTTTGGTTTCCATTGACTTCCATTGTATGGTCAACAAAACGGAGACATTTCTCAAGATATCTTGTTTCATATTTCTATGGAACAAAGAAACTCTTACAGGTTTGGAACGACATGAAGGTGAGAAAATGACAGAATTTAAAGTTTTGGGTGAACTATCCCTTTAACCTCAAATATTCGCAATAGTATTAGTGCTGCTTGCTTTAGCAAACACAATAACAGAAACGACAAAAACTTGAACATATGAATGCAGTACAAAAAGACACAATACACAGGAAATTAACACTCTAAAAATATCAAGTCACAAGTCATCTGTGACAAAAATAAATAAATAAATAAAATCCCTTCCTCCTTTTAAAGTCAGCACTTTTGAGGAATGTGGGACTTCTGGGAAATTATTCTTCAGTGTTTTATTAGTGAGTCACTTATATAAGGCCATAAGGGACAGCAGAGGGGATCGATTTCAGACTGAATTGTGTGTGCGGTTACTGAGAAACAGGGCAAAAAATGTTTCCAAACAACAGAGGTACTGTCAGCGAGTGTCCCAGGACGTCAATACCCTAAAGGCATACCATTACATTTGACATGAAAGGCTTCCTTTATGCCCGTTCCCAACTTATTGTTCACTCAAGTACTGAGAAACATACTCTCTGATGCATTTGGAGAAGGTCAGACACTCGACACATAAAGCAACACAGTCGAAACAGTTAGTGAGACGCTAACTCGAGCGCGGTGTCAGTGTGCATTGTGTCATTGGGTTGGGCTGCAGAGACTGAGAAAAGGGGCCAAATTACTCCGGTGTTGAAATGTGATGACTCAAGCCTCTCCGTTCTCATTTCCAAAGGGAATGATGGGCATTCCTAAAGCTGTCTAACAGTAATCTTATAAAAGAGGGATCTATTCGTTAGCTTCAGTTAATTGCTCTGCGGTTTCACATGGTGTGTTCTGACAGTTCACAAAAAATGGAAATATGGTTTCAGCTGTTAGGCTCCTTAACTTCAAATTAAAAGGATAGCTCACCCAAAATATATGATTCCATTTTATTGCTATATAGTTTATTTTGAACATACATATTTGACCATATATATTATGTCTATGGTGTACACCAAAAAAAAAAAAAATTACGTTGGATTACTTTGAAACTATTTTCACTCAGAAATTGCTAGTAAATTTCACAAATACTTAGAAACATCAAGTAACACTGCATTAAATGTGAATTTTTTTTTAAGTAGAAAGACTAAAATGGCATTTTCTTGTGAAACTTACTCCAATAATCTTTCTTTTATTTACAGAAAAAAAAATACATTATCTAGTTTTACTATGAAAAAAACATAAAATTCTGTCATCATTTATTTACTCACCCTTGTGTTACCATTTTGGTTACCATTGACCTCCACTGTAAAGACAAAAAACAAAATATCTTATTTTATGTTCCACAGAACAAAGAAAGAAAGTTCAAAGAAGCAAATTCAGATCTGCCTCCAACCAATCAACAACCGACGCACAGACTCAAGTCCATGGCCTACTTTTTTTCTTCTTCTTCGATAAACCGCTTCACTCACATGCAAGTTGCAATTTCTGTGGAAAAAATCTATAACTTGACTTTAATTTGCATGTGCATTATATGAAGCAGCTTGAAAAACACTAAAGCTAAATTTATGATACCATTTTATTTCTGATTTGCATTTACATTTATTCATTTAGCAGACACTTTTATCCAAAGCGACTTACAATATTTGGCTTGTTATTGCAACATAGGCTTAGCCAACAGTATTGAAGATTTTAGTATTTTGCCTATTTGAGAAGATCCACTACAAACTGTACTTGCTTGTCTATTATCAGAGCACAAACTGGTAAAAGCGCTTGCACACAGTCAATCTCTTTGATGGATAGAAATGTGTATATGTGTTTTGGGGGTGTGGTTGGAGCAAGATAAGCAAATTTTGAAAGTAATTCTTATTGGTCAATACGTAGACGCACATTAGAGCTGCATTAACAATTTCTCAAATTTTGGTTGCATGACAGAGTGTAACTTTTTGCATTCTTAAAAATGTAAAAATTAATTCAATGCATTATTTATCATTTATTTGTGACATTTACAAGCAATTTCTGAGTGAAAATTGTTTCAAAGTAAGTCCTACACCAATTTTTTTCATAGTATACTTGTGATGCAACACCCCCACCGAAATAATTTGCTTCACAGTGCTTGATCTTGTGTAATCTTTAGTGTGTATATGCTCTAACACCACAACCAGGATGGTCAAGACCTAAAGTGAAGTGTTCATGTCCCATACAGGACAGTGATTCACCTAAACCAGTGTTTGATGAGCTCAGGGTTATGAGACCCAGAAGGAATCCCACACTGTAAAAAAATGACTGTGAATTTAACGGTAAAAGACTGTAAAAATGCTACAGTAAAAACCTGTTAAATGGTTAACGGTAAATTCCCCTACTATATACGGTGAAAAACTGTATTGGAAATTACATGTATTGGACATTAATTTTACGGTAGTATACCGTTTTTGGAAGTGAAAAGACGGTATAATTTACAGTGAATTACCGTAAATTGACATTCCCAGAATTCCCTGCGTTACATTTCAAATTTGATGTTTATTTGTTGAAATAACTGTTTATTTCCGGCAACCACAGCTGCCGGTTTTTTACCGTAAATTTTACAGTGCACTGTTGTCTGAAAGCACAGCATGATCTCCACATCTCCATTTCAGGCAGTGCAGGTCTGTTCGAGGTGTTGTGATGTCAGGCTAAAACTGGCCATTCAGAAATAGCTCGCTACCAAACACTAACACTGCCAGACCAGCCTAGAGTCTGTGACGACGAGGGCAAAACATGTATCCTATTAACCTGAAAATCGCCTAAAATCCTCTTTATTTAGCAACAAAGAGCAAAGCCGTTTTCATTTTCAACTCGACAAGAACATCTAGTAAAACTGAAAAGTTACTCAGTACACCATGTCCTTATTTGTTCACTTTTCAAAAATCCTTCAGTGATGTGGCTCTTTGGATATTTCACGCACGGTCCATTCTGGAAGTCCAGTAAGGCCCATCACGTCATTCGTCCACCAGAAAGTTGATGAGGGCCGTTCTGGGCGAGAGGATGGCCTTCTTAATGACCCGCTCAGAGAGCAGACGGGCACCCAGAGAGCTGTTCAGCACTAGCTCCTGAACCTTCTGTGCGTCCTGAGCCACTTCACGAGGTACAGATACACTCCCACACGCCTTATTATTGATCTGAGGACAAAACAGAGAGAATACTGATGCCATCTGAAAAACTAAAGATTAAACAAGCGGTTTTAGATTTTATACATTTCAAGCCAAAAAAAGGTCAAGCCTGGTAAAAGTCTGATTGATGCAAACGATGACAAACTAGATGGACATTTTCTGAAGATAACAAGTAGTTAATGGCGCAAAATGAGTTTGTTCTCCCAAATATTAGTCCTTCATTGTAAGTCTAGGGATTCTTTTTTAATTTTTTTTGCCCATTTGATTGCCCGACAGGCAAAACTAATTATGTGGGAAGCTGAGAGTTGTTTTCTTACTGGCCCAACTCTCAAAGAGTTCTTCATGGAGAAGACAATCCCAGAATTCATTGCAAGGAAATTTTAATTAAGATGGAAACAGTTGGGCACGGACAGATGGAAAATGTTGGTGATAAATGTATTTTATATACTGTAAAGTATAGATAAAATGAAAGAAACATCTATTTTACCTGTGCGCTGAGCTAAAAGTCTGTATTCTGCTCTCCAGATGTTTGTTTGTTTATTTAACACCATTAACAATATTAAAAATAAAATCTTGACTGAGACAACATTTTAGATTTTTTCCCCAATGCCTATTTTTTTTAAAGAAATAAACACTTTTATTCAGCAAGGATGTATTAAATTGATGAAAAGTGACAAACATTTATAATTCCTTATAACTGTTTTCAATATTGATAATAATAATAATAATGATATAATCAAAAATATTAGAATGATTTCTGAAAGATCATGTGACACTGAAAACCAAAATAATCACTTCTGCTCTCGCAGGAATAAATTACATTTCACAATATATTGAAATAGAAAAGTGTTTTTTTTTTTTTTTTACATAGTAATAATATTTCACAATATCACACTATATTTCACAATTTTGATCAAATAAATTTAGCCTTGATGAGCAATAGATACTTAAAAACATTAAAAAAAAAAATCATACAGACCCCAAACATTTGAACAGTAGCTATAATACACACACACACACACACACACACACACAC